GATAAAGGCCTGTTAGGCCAATGGGACTTAACTGGACCTGAACAAGGATTTGATCTGTTTGAGGGATCGATCTGTTGGGGACAAATTGTTTGGGAGCTCAAAGTACAGCTTTATTATGAGATTTTTAGGCATTTGTGTCAAGCTATTCATGGTCCTGATGCCACATTATGTTGAGGTGGAATAGAATGACAGTCAACAAATACTGACAGATACATATTAAAAGGAGATATGTTTGGGGATTAATAGGTCTTTAATTCAGTTTTTAACTTAGCATAGTAAATCCTGGACCACTAGATGCAATATCATTTTAATGTGAATTACAGGGTAGCCAGTCTTTCCACATTTTGCAGATGGATGTTCTCTTTTAGTAACTATCATGTACAATCTGCTTAGATCCAGGTTAAACTCATTCTATTAATATTTAATGTCTGTTTTCCCTCCCAACCTGCCTGTTTCACAGTGTGTTCAGTAGTGATTTTCCCCTTCCTCAGCTGATGGCCAAACCATCCCCAAAGATGTCCATCTCTAAGTTTCATTTTGCCATCAGTTCAAGCCTGAGTTGGCCAATATGCACAAGTGAAGTAGATTTTGGCTTCCCTTTTTCTATGGTGAAACCATTTCTCTGCCCTTTGTTTTTAACTTGCCCTGTTCTCTTTCCTTTTTCAGATTTCTCTGCTTAAAGAATAAGACCAGCGCATCAGTTGTTTTTACAACATACACGCAGAAACATCCTTCGATAGAGAAGGGTCCACCCTTTGTGCAACCACTGCTAAACTTCATCTGGTTTCTGCTGTTGGCAGTTGATGGGTACAGTCTCGTTTCTGTCATGTCCTTCTTGGTTTCCTTTTCAGTTGTTAACTGAGATTACATTTTTGGTTGTTTCTTTTCTAGAGGAAAACTAACAGTATTTACAGTGTTGTGTGAACAGTATCAACCTTCGCTGAAAAGAGACCCCATGTATAATGAGGTGAGTTATAGACAGGATTTAACTCACTGAATTAATGAAATAATGGCTGATTGTCTCCAGCTTTGCAGATAGGAGCTGGTGCTTTGCCTTGCCTGGGTATTTCCACCTGTAAATGAAATAATTGCCTTTTTTTCACCTTGTGTCCCTACAGTACCTAGATAGAATAGGACAGCTTTTCTTCGGAGTTCCACCCAAGCAGACCTCATCCTACGGGGGATTGCTAGGTAAGCTCTGCTTGTAGGTACCTCCAGGCTTTGTTCAGTGACCTGGATAAAACACCTGTGTTGGAAACAGATTATCTGTTCTAAGGAATTTATAATTCTTTTCATAGCCTGTAGGAGCAGCCCCTGCTGTAGAATACAAGATGAATGGGTTGCATGTGAAAGTAGTTTGGGGGAGCTTGTAGACTTTTCATCACTGAGAAGCAGAGAAGTACTAAAAAGACTCTTATGGTTAATTTCTGACATTATGGTATAGCTTCTTATGTAAAAAAGCATCTTACTGGTGTTAAAGCTTAATTTCCTCAGAGTCCAGGGACTGATTTTTCTTAAACCAAGTACTGGGCTTTGGTAGAGATCTAATCAGTGCTGATACAACATGAATGTGTCCAAAGAGAAAGTTCTGATATAATACTGCCCTTCCACAAGGACTGAAATGGAAGAGAGACATTCAGCCGTCATTTCCTGGCTCTTGAATAAAATGTGAATTAAATTAATGTTTTTCTGAGAACTAAGCTTCTTTGTAAAGTGACTTGAAGCTTTACCTACAAATGTCAATTCACTGATACCCAAAGTCTGATGGAAAACATTGTGGTTTTACCATCCGTAATTTGCTTTTCAGCAATTCAGGCATCTTTAAATTGATGCCTCTGAGTTTCAGACAATTTTTTTACAGCATGATGCGGACTGTGTCTGCTTTTTGAGAGTTTCATTGCTGGAGGTGTGTTTTTCCTCTTTTGGTTGGAGATTTTTTCCTTCTGAGGGTGCACCTGTAGCACACAAATATGTGACTTCAGGTTTTTCAAGTGTATTTTTAGAGAAGGAACAGTATCAGTGTACAGCTAGGAGTATACAGCTTCCCAAATCAATATTCATAATGGAAACCAGTGTGGGATTACTAATGTCTTGGTGAGACTCTTCTACTTGAAAACTCTTGGGTTTTTTTTGTTACAGAAATCCGTACTGTAGCAGGATGGAAGATAAGTTAAAAGTTTTTGAGATGAGAATGTAAAACTAATGATTTTGACTGTCCTGTTTTTTATTCTAGGAAATCTTTTAAACAGTCTGATGGGAACTGGGGAAGATGATGACACAGAAGAAGGTCAGGAAGACAGCAGTCCTATCGAGCTCGACTGAATGTTGTTGTCATTGGGTGCCGTGTAAATCTGATGATTCGATGACTCCAAAGACACTTTTGGAATTTGAATCCTGCAGTTGTTTCTTGGCTCCTAAAAGGGCTCCTCTGGTCTTTTAGAAATGGTTGCTGAAATGTTTATACTGTCGGTCTATATTATTTATGTAAAAAAAAAAAAAGAAAGAAGCCAACAAAAAGTAGCCAAACGAACCAATCGGAGCAGTTAGTGGGTTTCCGATCCAGCGGCTGGGACTGATTAAACATAGTCTGCGGTTTCTGATGCAGTATTCCCTTTTGCACAGTCTTTCAGTAAAGCATAAACATGGGGCTTGTCCTTCACGGCCTACCCAATGCCATCTGTGTTCTGAGAAAGCCTCCTTGCCCTCTGCCCTCTTCCAGGGAAGATCTCGAAGGGCAGGGGGAGCAATTGAATAATTGATTTGTGAGGCTGGTGCCAAAGTACTGCGGGACGAGCCAAGCAGCGTAATTTGAGATACACATCCAAGAGACATTGATACAAGAACTTGCTTCCACTGCCATGAGTAACATGCACACCCTTCATACTGCTTGCCCCTCTCCCCAAGGCCAGGCTCTGGCTGGGCCCACGCGTGTGTTTAGCCGATACTTCCTGAAAAGCACAAGGTTGAATAGCTCTTGAGTAAAAGCCCATCAGTGGAACACAGGTAATTGGCTTCCAGGTGGATCTCCCTTGCCTAGGTATAAAAATTTGGCATCTAAAATATGTCCTGTGGCTTGTGGCTGTACTTTGGAAGAGCTCTTGCCAGTGTAAGTTCCAGCTGTAGGTGCAGTGGCAGCGTTGCTGTGAGCAGAGCAGTTTGCTGTGGGCAGGGTGTGTGTTTGAACTGGGCTGGATGGCAAGAAAAGGGATACTGCAGAGCTTCTGGGTCTTTATGATATATTTATTTTTCTTGGGTGATTGATTCATTTAACACTTTCTGTTAAAAGATAAATCAATAAATAATGGAGTAACTTCACCCCCAGCAGTAGGCATAGCCATTCTCCATCTCCTCTGTAATGCAGCACAGTCTGGTACAGGGAACAGGTGAAAGGGTGGGGAAACGCTTTATTTTTTCATGATGAAAATAAAAAGGCTTAGATTAATAAACAGCAATCATGCATGGGGGAGGGATTAATACAAATTTATTGACTGTATGAAGAAAAAAAAAAAAAAAGCATTGACAAGAAGACTTTGTGTTAATTGTGAAGTCTCAAATAAACACTTTATACCAGGATGTGCGATACTGCTGCTAAGGGTTTCCCAAGCAGAGCTTTACATTCCTTATTTTTTTCACTCTGCATTTCACTGTGGGTCATCGAGCCCTCAGTGCTGCACTTCACCTGTGTGCAGTAAAGGTGTAATTCTCTTGGGGTGTTGGAATATCTGGAGCAGATGGGGCTTGCTTTGCTGTAGAGCAGGTTAAGGGAAGAGCTCCCTCTCCGGGTTGGTGCTGTAGACATGTAATAAATTATCTGGGATTTCAGCAGAGGTTTAGAACCACAGCATTTCATTGCTTTTGGCTGCCAGGAATTTGCCTCTCAGGCAGCATGAGGTGTCCACAGGCATCCAGCACATGTCCCTTGCTGTGTCCTGTGTGTATGACCCAGTGTGAGGTTTTTCCCTCAGCTCTGTCTGCAGCCCCCACTGTGAGCTCTGCATGTGCCCTGAGCCCAAAACCCCAGCCCTGACAGGAGGGCAGTGCTCCAGGGCTGGGGCACCTACAGGTGGATATACAACATGTATATTCAATAATTTCAACAGTATATAAAGAACATATATGTGTGTATAAAATATATACCTAGGATGTGTATACACACACACACATAAATAGCCTTTTGTATAGATAATAATTATATACTTGTATTACATATAATATTATTCTTAATTATATATGCACACAAAACAATTTTTATAGCTACCTATAAACCCAAACAAGGAGCCCAGTCTGTCCTCTCCCTGCTTCTGCTGTGCCTGGGTGGGTAAGTAAGTGTGAATGACAGTGTGTGGGTAACATACACTTATAAATACTTTAAATATAAGTTAAATATATAATTATAGTTATGCATACACATGTGCATGCAGATATGTGTGTTTATATGCAATATATACACCATAAATTATATTTATAAATTATATAAAGCATGTACATGTGTATATCATATAAAATCACATATTTTAGAAAACAAAGTATAAAAATGTCTATACATATACAGGTGTGTGAAATACATTTCGCTTATGTATTTGTAAATTGAATATTTCTGAGTGCTACATCTGTACATGAATGTGTGCATATGAACACCTCATACATACACACATTTTATATATTACACTCTATCCACTATGCATTTATAGTTGTCTTGAGTAGCCAACAACCCCTTCATAAAGCTTATTTCTTTATTCCCAAGAACCAGCTATCCTTTGTGTATGTCTGTGCACACATAAAGAAGTATTACAGAGAAAATACGCACAATATGCACTGTAACACACACATATACACAAATAATAGATAAAATAATACACACTGTGTGCCAGGGTAGGGCAGATGGTTCTGAGGTGTCCCACACCCCTGGGGCTGTGCCAGCAGCAGCAGCTCCTTGTTTCCATTTGCTGCTTTTTAACCCCACCTCCCTCCCCTGCCCCAGCACCACACAGCCACGGCTCTGACATAATAATAATTTATTGGTTTGAATGACATTTAGTACCACAGTTGTCTTACCAGTGACAGAACGAATGCACACAGCCGATGAGATGCTCTCAGCTACACAACCAACCTAAGAAACGCGTCGGACAGGTCCGTGGCTGGGGCTGGGCCCTCAGGGCACGCTGGAAATCTCCTTTTTGGGTAAAAATCCAGCACCTGGTGTGCAGGTCCCAGCCCGCCCGCCCTAACTGCAGGAATTACAGTGCTCAACACGGCGCTGAAACGTCACTTCAAGCAGCTTTTTTTTTTCTTTTTTTTTTTTTCTTTTTTCTTTTTTTTTTTTTTTTTGGGCAGGAGAAGAAAAATCAACCAAAAAAATTGAATTATTGGGGGGAAAAAGTGCAACCACCAAGTCTGGAGAAGGGATGTGCCTGCTGGGAGTGAGGCTTTGATGGTGCCCATCAGCAAAACTGCAGATAAAGCTCAACCCCCAGCTCCACACCAGGCTCCCCAACTGGGGCAAAGCCCCCAGACCATGGAACAGGGATGACCCAGGGAGCTGAACACAGGCCTGGCCCCCAAAGCTCTGCTCTCCCAGCATCACCCCACGTGTTGGCATCTCCCTTGCAGCCCCCTCCTCCCTGCCCTTCGTTAGCTTAATGAGGCTGATGATGCCCATTTCCTCTGTTTCTAAATCCTGCGTGACCCTCTGCAGGTACAGCATCCCCCCCAGACCCCAGGGGATAATTTACTTATCCTTCACCCCAGCACCACGGCAGGCTCTGCTGTTTTGCACAGCACCATTTCGTCCTTGCAGGCTGTTTCCCATCCCACAGGGATGGCACCCCTTGGGGACTTGCAGCCCCCCTGGAAAGGGCTGGCAGCCATCTGGAAGTGTGGGGATGCTCAGCTCCAGCAGCCAGGGACCTGAGCATGGGGAAAAGTCCCAACTGCCCCCGGGATGTGCCACCAACAGTCTCTGCCATCCTGGAGAAGCTGGGTGCCCCTTCCACGGGTGTGGGGTGATGGGGTGCAGGACCACCTGTCCCATCCCACAGAGCAGCCACAGAGCTGAATTTCAAGTTGGATCAGGATCTTCTCCGATGTTCCACTGCCGCCCTTCCGACATGATCAGGTGAATGATGAGGGGAGAGGGAAGTATTATTATTGTTACTATTATTACTGTTATTATGAATTATTTTTAACATTTCAAATAAAACCACGTTGTGTTGTAAACAGAAGCTCACTCCTCAGGTCTGCCCAGCCAGTCCCAGCTAAGGTTTATGTTTGAAATGGGCTTCCACTGAAAGGAAAAAACAGAGAAGATAAAGTTAAACCAAGGCAGGTTAAAACCACTGGCAGGTGGTGACAGCCTGGCACAAGCCCACCCTGACAGTGGTCCCTGCTGATGCTCCTTGGCTTCAGTTGCCCCCATAACCATACAGCAGCACGGACATCACACCAGAGGCAGTGAAGAGGAAAGGATAATCCTCCTCCTCCCTCTCTGCTCAAACACCCTCTACATCCCCCTGGCCAGTGAAGAGCCTCACACAGAACAAGAGGGAACGATGGCCCGATCCCCAGTCCCCTCCAGCCCAGGGCACGCTGGGGCCAGGGCTGACATCCAGCCCTGCCCAGGGAACACACCTGCGTATTCCTGAGGCAGCATTGGCCTGCTTATGACTTTCTGAAAGGTGGTGATCCACTCCAGCTGGTCGTCCTCCGTCTCGCAGGCGAAGAGGAATTTCCGATCCGGGGTGACGATGGTGATGCCATGCTGCCAGTGGTTCCCCTGCGTGGATGGTGGGAGCCCTTCCAGCACCTTGTAGCTGTTTTCCTTGCTCCCAATAAAAACCTCCCCTCTAGCAAAGGCATCCTAGGAGACAGCAGAGCAGTCAGGCAGGGGTGAGGTGAAGGGAGCTCTGCCTCCCGGGCAGCCAGGACAGCTTGTCCTGCAGCAGCCACAAGCCCATCAGCCAAACCCCAACAGCACCACCCAGAGCCCTGCTCCTCACCACAATGCAGCACCAACACCAGGGAGCCAAGATCCAGATGCAGAATATCTGCTTTTAAAGCGGTTTTGATATTTATAGGGTTACTGCACACCAGGCAGAGCCACCAAGCAGTGACAGTGTTGTGCCCTCTTGGCTCTCCCACCAGCCTGCATTTTGCTGCAGATCACTATTGTAATTATTCCTGCTATTACTCTTAGCAGTAGTAGTAGTAGTAGTGGTGCAGGTAATTCCCAACAGGCAGCCCAGGCACCTTCATCTTACCAGGGGATCTTTGAAATACATGAGCCGTCGGTCGTCCATGGTGAACCATCGCTTCTTGAATCCCTCTGTTTGCTGAGGAGTCAGAAAATGCCAGATGACACACTGCAACAGCACAGCTTCTCTCGAACCACGCATGGCCCAGGGGTCTCAAAGCACTTGGAGCAGCCTGAAGGGCTGGGGGAGCTGGGAGCAGATGGCTTCTGGGCCATCAGGGCCACACAGCCAGGGTCTGCGCCAGCTGTACCAGGAAGGGGCATTTGGTTTGAGATGCAGAGTTGGATTTTTTAATGTTTGCTCCCAGATGAGGAAAGTGCATTAAACACATTCACAGAGTTATGGCTTTGTCTCTCTGGCAAGGGTTGGTTTGTCCCACCAGCAACCCCTTCTTGGGGCCATACAGAGCAAGACTGGTGTTTGGAGGGACTGAAAAATGCTTCAGGTCCTACCTTTGGCCCTGTTTTCTCCATGTATCCTTCCTTCAGGTAGTTTCTAGAAAGCTTTGGCACCAGCTGGAGCAACCAAAGAGGACAGAAAAGAGCAGTGTGAGATGGAGGGGCCCGGGGGTCACTGAAGGAAAAGCCCCACTGAGCTGGCCCAGCCCTGAGCCCACCCCACAGCTCTGCCCGAGAGCTCCAGTCCTGCTCCTCCACAGCACTCAGGAGAGGAGGCTACAGCACGAAACACCTTGGAGCAGCTGCTCAGCACAGCCAGCAGCCTCCAGGAGAGTCTCCCACTCTCCTCAGGGCAGCAGGGACAGAGCCACCCTGCAGAACCACGACTGCACTCCTCCCAGGGAATTGGTAGAAGGCAGGAAATGCAATCAGATTTCAAAATCTACAGCCAAGGAGGTAGCAGGGAGTAATCAACAAGCAGCACCACAGTGATGTTACACCCCAAGAGCAGCACACAGCCCTGGCTGCAGCACATCAGAGCAGCCTCTGGAATTGCATTAGCCCAGGGTAACACAATTAGCAGCTCCAGCCCCCGGAAAACACAGGCATTCATAAGCCAGGCTGCACTGACCTGCAGAGGAGAACTCAGGCAGGGCACTGACATCCTCCTGCCCTCACCTTTCCTGCCTCCCAGCCTTTGTTTTGGCTTTTGTTATTACAGCAACAGCCTTTGAGATGCTCAGGGCTCCTGCAGGCGGGGCAGAGCTGGCGTTGCTCCCACAGCCCCCGTGTGTGCAGGGGCTCAGCATCCCACCACAACCATTCCAGCCCAGTAATTGCAGAACACTCCGAAGGATGGAGCACTCCCCAAGCCTTCCAGCTTGTTAGCAGGATGCTAAAAATGAGCAAGAAGGGGAAAAAAAAAACCCATCCAAGCAGTGCTGCAGGAACACTCACATCAGAATCACTGGCTCCAGGGAATGCCACTTGTAAGTAATGGAAACGTGCTGCCCGGATGGCATTGAACCAATCCACTATTTCCTAGTAATGAGGAAGAAAAGCAGAGTGAGGAGTGCAGCCTGCACATAAAATAACCTGATCCTGCTGTGTTTCATCTCTCCCATCACTCTGGCCCCAGTGACAGAGCACAATGTAGCAGCAATCCTCAAAAACACAGAATGCAGCAAAAAGGTGAAGGATGTGGAACATTCAGCTGCTGCTCCAGGCTGCCAGACATGTACAGAGCTCTGCAGCTTCACTCAGCACCGAGGGGCTTTCTGCAGAGGGGAGGATTTAAACATCTCTGAACTGGCAAAACCAGCCCCAAAAGAGCATTTGAAATATTGAGCTGACCCTATAAGCAGGGCTGGGCTGGTGCAGCCTGCCCACCCACCCCTGTCCCCCAGCCCCTCAGCAGGATACCTGAGCAGCACCTGCATCCCACCCGAATTCCAGCAAAATACTTTAATGTTTTGCTAAAAGAGCAGCTTAACATCTCTTTGTCTTTGCATCCCAATCTATCAGCTGTGTCTGAGTCCTTTAGGGACAGCCACAGTGACACTGAAGTCCAAGAAGCTCTGGCACTTCTCCCTTTCCTTGGAAAAAATCTCTCTCAATTTTTTTCCTCCTACAAAATAACTGTTTTATAATTTCTTTCTTTTTAAACTCATGTATTCATTTATCTCTGGTAAGACTTGTGCAGCATGTCTCTGAAGGTTTTGCTGAGAAATGCCACATTAATTTTGAGTGTTCCACACAGGGAGCACTCGAGCACTGCCTTGTGGTCTGAGATGTGGGAGCAGGAAAGGCGTGTTGGAAGGAGATTAGGAGCTGCCCTGCCTGGGATGCTGAGCACAGGGAGAGGGATGCTGAGCTATCTTGCTGTCATTAATGCATGTGAAGCTTCACACACCAGATCAGGGACATGTTCAATGAGCCAGACTTAATCCTAAAATAAACACTGTCAAACCCTTTCAGGTGAGGTCGCTGTAGTGTAGGAAAGACCACATCAAAGGAGAAGTTGCCCTTCTCTAAGAGTTAAACTTTTTTATGCTTTAGAAAAGGTCTGGGTAAGGAGGAAAGGCTCACGTGAAATTTTGAAATCTCAATTGTAAGAAGCTGAATTGGGGGTATCTCAAAAATGGTCTAATGTGGCAAATAGCCATTTCCAAAATTTAAAAATCTTTGCTTTGGTTTGTTAAGCTACTTCAAGTTGAAAGGAAAAGAATCCCAAAACATAATACGATAGACAAACAATGTTTTGGAAAACTCTGACCTACTTTCTGAGGTTTTACTCACTTATCATTTGCTTTCCTACCCTAAGCAGCTAAAGACACCCCAGATAGCATCACAAAGAGGATCAGCGAGAAGAATTCACTCCTGAAATTAATGATGACCAAACCAGGCTGGAGCTAATGAACAATAAGCTGTGATGTTAAAATTTTGATATCTTCTACAGCCACCAATTGGGTGGTTATATACATATTTATTTATTTATTTACCTGTGGGTCTTCTCTGTGATCCCAATGTGAGGTAGGGTTACACCCTGCAGAAAAGCAGAAGCTGAAACCCTCACTGACTTCCAGCAGTAAATTGCTTTCTGGAATATTGATAATCCATTGACACAAATGAGGTTTGACCAAATTCTCCTCTGTAAGAGTGGTGAGGCCCTGGCACAGGTTGCCCAGAGCAGCTGTGGCTGCCCCATCCCTGGAAGGGTGCAAGGCCAGGGTGGGCAGGGCTTGGAGCACCCTGGGATAGGGGAGAGTGTCCCTCCTCAAGTCAGGGGTGGAATAGATGAGCTTTAATGTCCTTTCCAACCCAAACCTTCTCATTACCTCCAGGGCCTCACCTTGCCATCTTCGTGATAGACAAAGATGTTCCTTGTGCTATTGTCCTTCAAGTAAGTGATCTGCAGTCCATGTGGGTTCCCGATTTTTGCAGGCTGGAAAGTCGCATTTAGGTGTTCGATCTTCATAATTGCTTTGGGTTCTTTTGCCTGGAAAGCACAGCTGAGTGAACAAACACCTGAGAAGTGGCTTTCAAACCAACAAACAGTTCACTTGGTCAGAAAAAAGGCCTATTTGAGGCCTCCATTAGCTAAAAGCACCTGAATGCCAGCCCACAAAACCAGCTGGTGATGAGATATCTGAGACTCCGCTCGGGTGTCAATGAGCCCTTCCTGCCAGCCTGGAAACATGCTCTGTCCTCCTGCAAAATTCAGCAGGGATACAAAAAGAGACAGACTGCTAACTAACAGGCCAGGATGCTTTGTGCACCCACAGATAGTTCATCCTTGTCCCAAAGGATGGAGGATTATCCCCTTTGTCAACAGCAGACCGGGTGCTCGGCTGGGAAGCACCACGTTCATGTCCCCATCTGTCCCACCCTCTCAGGTGAGCCACTGGCTGCTGACTCTGCTCCTCCCTTGCAGTCTGAACTGGGAACTTTCTCTTCAGAGGGACAACTATAATCCTTACAGCCACCTCCAGGGTGGGTTAGCCCAAGAAGGAGCCTGGGTCAGGCCCCCCCAGCCCCACCTGCACCCTCAGTGGCAGCCCCATAGCTCTGTTCATGTTCCTACAAAGTGTCTCTAGAAGTTGGCCACCCCTCCAGGACTGCACTGAGAAGTGAAACACAAGTGAAACCATCCCAACAAATACAGATGAGCCCCTTGGTGACAGCAGTTTCAGAGCAGGGCCAGGGGCCAGCAGAAGGGTGGAGGGTGCCATGGTCCCAGCACCGTGCAGAGGTGTCAGTGCTGCTCCGGGAACTTGGGGACTTTCTGAGGACACACAGCACTGGAGGGTGCCCATGGTGGGGAAATCCCAGCGGAGAGGATGTCTAGACAGCACCATTCCCACCACAGCTGTGTCAACAATGAGGCAAAGCAGCTTTAAACCATCAGAGCAGCCAAGAGTGACTGAATGGAACCGCTGGGACTTTCACTTCTCCCTCAGCAAGGACTGGCTCTCTCTTCTCCACGAGATGCAACTGGACCATAGCAAAGCAAGCTGAAGGGGAAGATGGTGCTGTCAAAGCCATGGAGAAGTGAGGTTGGATGCTCCCATCCTCTGGATCATCACGACACCATAACTGCACCACCTGCTTGGGAAAGCTGGCTGCTGGCTCAGCCTGGGCTGCTCTCAGCTGTGATGGTCAGGGGAGACTCAAAGGTCAGAAAAAACACCTTGGGATTCTCCAGTACACAGTGCTGAACAGTGGAGTGTCCATCCACTCATCACAAATGCAATTTTCATGGTAATAGCTCCATTTCCCACAATAATGAAACATGCTCTGGGGAAGAAGACAAACACTTGCACACTGCTGGACACTGGAACAGAACACCAGGGAGTTTTCCCTCTGGATTGCATGCCAGCCATGAAAAGGAGGATTCAGACCCCAGTGACCTCTGCAAGGTGGTGACACCTTCATCACAAGGTAGTCATCCATATGAAACCCACGTTAGTTGGATGATGCAGAGCCACAGCTGAGAAAAACTCCTTTGCTGGTGGTTTGAGAAAAGCCCTATGGACTTTAAAGGGCAACAGAGCAGGAATGTGAACAGGCCCGTGGGGCATCTCTCCTTGAGTGTGCTGGAGGAGCAAGAGCAAGCCCCACCAAAGGGAAGGTGAGCTGAGCCTGGTGCTCTTGTCCTGGAGCAACTGGGGACTCAGTGACTTTGGAAACTGTAGAAATAAACTGGTGCCCTGGGAATTACATGTTCCAGGATGCTCTCACAGCTGCAATGTGCACACAGCAACCCTAGGTACTCACATCGTTTTTGTTGAAGTACTTCAGAGCACCTTCCCTCTCTGATAACACAAATTTTCGGCTTAAGAACTGCCCATTGTCGCGTCCTCTCTTCCACAGAAATCCTTCTCGGTACCCTGCAGCAGAAAGGAATGGCTGAGAACCAGGGACAAAGTGCTGCACTTAAAAGAGAGCTGGGATAAAGAAAAGAACTAAGGCTTCAGAACTAAGCAAACCAGGTGTGTGGCTGTTCTGCTGAGGACATGAAGGGAGCAGGCATTCTCCTTCAGACCTGCCCTTCTCACTCTGCTCTCATTCCCTGCCAGCAGCTCGTGCTTCAGACATCTCCACTCTGACACCCAAGGAGGGGCTGCCTGCAGGGCCCCTGTGCACTGTCACAGCTCAGCCCTGTCACAGCACAGGCAGAGCATGCCCCTCTGACAGTAAAAGGGTTTTTAAATCATGGGGATTTGGGGAGTTTGAAAGAAAGGCTTGTAGGCCCTGGGAAAATACCCTGGGAAAGTATAGGCCTTGTACTTGCTAGAACTGCACCTGTGTAACCAGTGTATGATAAAAGATACAACTGTTAGATGTGATGATTGTTTAGTAATTAAATATAATTACTATTTGAGCATAAGAATAATCAAGAGAATTTGTGGTCAGGGGCTTGAGAGAGATCACGAGAGGTTCATGCTTGAATAAGGTCAATGTATACAATAGAACAATGTACGTTTAATAATTAATATGTAAGCTATATAACAATCGAATATAAAATATGTTCAGTTCAAAAGCTGTGTGGGAGTCAGATTTGGGTATGTACCCCTGATTTCCAGAGCTCTTCAATAAAAGCACCTGCACATAATCATATCCTGTGATTCTGTGTGCTCCTGAACGCTGACACCTCTGTCCCTGTGAGGCCCAGCAGCCCCTGCTGCCTGCATTCCCACAAATCCACCCTGTCACCACCCAGAGATGCAGAGGGGATGGTCCCAAACCCTCGTTACCCCTACAGCCACAGCCAGCACTGGGGGGTGACACCCCTGCCCCCCTAATCCCTTCCCCTCAGAGCTCTCTCCACCCCTGCAGTGCATCATTGGAGCATCATTGCCCGTGTGCATCAGTCCAGTATCCAGGGACAAACACTGCAGACACCCGGGAATGACAAGGCTAATTATTGTCTCTGGTCCACCCATCCAGCTTGGGAGAATCTTCCCCAAAGGCAGGAGCAGACCCAGCTCACTCAGCTCAATTCACCCCTACCCCACTATGGGCTGGCCAGGAACCGTCCCTTCCCAGCACAAAGCCCCTTTGGAGGGCACTGGCAGTGCCAAAGGAGAAGAACACACAGCAGGCAGGATTACCCCAAGTCTGAGCGAGGGGAAGCAGCCAAGGAAGCAGCCAAAGCCCAGCCAAGGGCAGCTGCACCCCAGAGCAGGGCAGGAAGAGCCCAGGCTGCTGTGCCAGCAGGGCAGAACTGCTGGGGAGCCACAGCTCTGCCTGAGGCAGGGCAGGTGCTCCTGCCAGGCCCCAGCACAAACCCCCCAGTGCCCTGTGGCAGGCTGGACACGAGGGAGCTGCTCAGGAACGATGTCTCTGTGCAGGAGACAGGCAGGCAGGAGGTTCTGTGTCCAGCTCTAAGGTGGCAGGTTTGCCTCAGGTGAGGCAGAGGTGCTGCCAGGGCTCTGATGGCACTGCTCCCTGAATGGCAGCACGTGGAGCAGCTTTTCCTCAGCCTGTGAGGTTTGGGAACCAAGGACAAGTGGCTTCTGCTCCTGAAAGGGGCTGGGTTTCAATGCCAAGCAGCAGGAGAGCACTTCAAAAGCTATTGCTGTTCATTCCACTGAGGAGCAGGGAGGTTTCAGAGCCTCTCTGTGCCTGGCACTTGAGGAACTCCGATGTCTCACAGGGGGCTGGACAGAGCTGGCATGGAGGAGAGGACATCAAACAACAGGACAGTGATATCTCCCAATACAAACATGGGGAGATGCAGGAGGAAAGCCCATCTTTTCCTTCAGGAATCCCCACCTGGCTTTGTGTGGCTCAGCAGAGCACACAGAGCTCAGCTCGTGTTGGCCCACCTTGGAGCAGCTCCTGCCTGTGGGTCTCATCCATTCATTCATCCATTCCAAACACAGGATTGGTGAAGGATGCTGCAGTTATTCCTGGCTGCACTTGCTCCCCTCCACAACACTGATTTCTTAGCATTCAAGGGACGGAGAATAAAATTACTCTGCATCTCCCCAAAGATTATCTCAAATCATTGCTAACCCTGGCAGATGGGCACCATCATGGCTCTATATGAAGAGAGTGAAGCCCAGAGAGGTTTGCTGAGCTGCCCAGGACAAGGCTGTGAGCCTTGTCAGCCTGGAAACCCAGTCTTCCCTGCCCTCTTACATTCGACACTTCATCATTTTGATGTTCTCTTTCCAACTTGTTGTGTCAAAACACAGGATCCAAATTCACTTCAAGGAAGAATTACAAAAATCCAACAAAACCAAGTGTAATCCCATTCTGTGGCTCACATGTTGGTTCTTCCCAGGCCAATCACTTCAGCAGAAGAGACAAAGCCAGCTGCTGATTTCAGTGTACTTTGTACAGATTTTTGCTTGCTTATTTTCTTTTTCTTTTTTCTTCCCTTCAGGGCTGCATCCTCAGGAGCTGCTCCTCTGCTCTGCCCAAACCTGAACCCCTGTCAACACCCATCAGTGCAAACCACCATGAACAGCCCTTGAACCCAACATGAACCCACACAGGTTCCCCAGGCAAGCTCTGTGTCAGCAAGTTGTGTCCTCCAAGCCCTGACCCAAAGGGTTGTGAAAACAGCCAGAGAAGGTGCTGAGAAACAGAACTGCAGGAGGCAGAACAGGGAACAGACCTCACACTGGAGGGCGTTGGAGACAGAAGATAAACCCCATCTTCCCTGTCTCATGTCTTAGCAACAGTTTGTATTTAGAGGCACCTGGTCACATCCAGATCCTCAGGGGTGGCGAGGCCCTGGCACAGGGTGAGCACAGGAGCTGTGGCTGCTTCCCTGGAAGGGTCTACAGCCAGGCTGGACAGGGCTTGGAACAACCTGGGACAGTGGAAGGTGTCCCTGCCATGGCAGGGTGAAATGGGATGATCTTTACGGTCCCTCCCAACCCAAACCATTCTGTGAGGGCTGTTCTGCTCAGATGGAAGCTGAACAAGCCCTACAGCACCTTCGGACTGCTTGTGTGACACAGCATCGTGTCACCAACACGTTTGCTCCTCTCCTGAGGCACAGAACGAGGGATGCAACCACCTGCCATTATCCCATGGATCACCAGTACCTAACCAGGAGTGCAGAAAGCACTGCCTGGGCAAGACTGACAAAAAAACCCCACTGACACTGCTAACATTGCCGCTGCCACGTTTCCTGCATCACTTCTGCCACCTGCCAAGGAGCAGAATGCATCACTTTTGCAGGCACAAACCTGTGACACCTGCAAAAGCCCCAGCAAGCAGTAGTGTCAGCCAGCAAATGGCACAGGATACAACCACACAGCCCAGATGGGTATTTCTGACCTGTTATGTGGCTTCCAAAGTAAAATGAGGAACTGCCCCTTCCACGCCCATTTCATCCCAACAGCTAAAACTCTGGGGGCAAGGAAAACAGGGTCACCAGGTGGGTTGGCTGAAAAGAAGATGGAGCATGGCCTTGTGCCATCTCAGGTGGGCTGGTGGCTGCAGCTCCTTCAGGCACATAGAACTGGCAGCACCCATGGGTGCTCCAGTGCAGCCAGCCCTCCCCTGCCTGAGAGCCAGAGAGGAAGCAAGGGAGAGGATTTGATAAAAAGAACATTTCTTGTAGCCACCATCGTTCCATCTGACTTCTACCAGCATTTGGTACAAGTTCCCCAGTTTAAAGAAGAGGGATATTGCTACTTCCCCACCTCAGAAAGCTGTTACAGAGCTTAGTTAATGATGGGGGGGTTTGGTCTCCGAGAATGTGGATTACAGGAAGTACCCAAAATTACTTTTTTTGTTTTACCCCTTGCTCTCATAGAAGAAAAATCTTTAAAGGAGGACAATCAGAGCCACTGGCTTGCAAAAACCAACGTGCATGGACTTTTCTTTCTGTCATCCTAAGCATGGCATTTAAAAATTGGGAATTAAAACCATGTCTGATCTTCGGTTTCTTTGGCTCTTTGTTTCCCAGTTTTACCTGGAAAGAGGTAACAGAACTGCTTGTTTGCATGACGTTTTTAGGGCTGTGGTAAAACCAGGTCTGGTCCCAGGCTTTTAGAAGCAACCTGAGTGTATCCAACACCACACAAAGGCACCACTGTGTGGTTTGTTGCCTTCTTCTCTCACTGCAAGACAAAGCATGGGGGGGCTGAATAAGAGAAAACAATGTACTTGTGCATGTAATCCAAGAGAATCACGTTTCCCTGGAGTTCAGGCAGGGCACCTCTGCCTACAGAAGCCACTTTTCCTTCCTCTCAGCAGTTAAAGTGCCTTGACCCCGATTCAGAGCTTTGGAGAAGATTCAAATCCAACTCCCTCACTCTGCTGCTAAAATTGCAGGCTGTACATTGCCACTGCTCTGAGTGTCAAAGCTGAGCACTCTGCTCCATTAGCACGGTGAGGTGTTAATTAGGGCAGGACAGGGGACGGGCCCTCACTGGGCATGGTGTGCCCACCTTTTCTGAGAGGTTAAGGAACTGTCGAATTATCTGGAGCAGTTCAGTGTGGAATCCCTGACACCACACATCACCTCTGACCCCTTGTCACAACCTCCTTTTTAAAGAAAGATTCTGAAGGACATTCCTCTGAAATAAATCCCACTGCCCACAGCGAGAGGGTTGGATGGAGCAGGTGGCATATTTTATATTTTCCTTATAGACTGGACTTTGAATAGGGTTGCAAAAACAACTGTGCACCTTTTGTTTAGCTATGTCAGTGTAAATGGTTTGGTTTGACTGCTCTATGTTGTAACATTTCTTCCTGCAGCACTCAGCCACCATCAAAGCAAGACATTTCAATGAGTTCAACTTACATACTTCAAGAATTTGCATTCCAATAAAAGTCATAAACCAAGGAATATTAAGTTTGCTCATGGAATGGCAAAAAAGTTTGCCCAGATCCCCCAGAGGCAAGCAGGGTCCAGGTCCTC